TAGATTATGTGCTTCAATCAAAACCTAATCTTATTAAGTTTAATTTCCTAACACTCACGCGCCAATCATATGCAATGGCAAATGTAAGGCCATATGAGCATTTCATTTCTTCCCCAGCTTATAAAAATTCTCTCTCTCATTCCTAAGTATTTCTCACCTTCCCACAAAGATAATGGAAGAGATAAGACTTTATCTTCTATGGTCAGCATTCTTCATAGCTCTCACCATACTTTTTCTAAGACGTCGATCATCGAAGGATTTACCACTTCCGCCAGGGCCAAGGCCGCTCCCGGTGTTGGGCAACCTACTCGAGCTCGGCCAAAATCCCCACCGCTCCTTAGCCCGTCTTGCCCGAATTCATGGACCAGTCATGTCTCTCAAAATCGGCAGCATCCACACAATCGTCATCTCCTCGCCAAGCTCTGCAAAAGAAGTCCTTAAAACAAAAGAGCACTTCATCTCCGGCCGACAAGTCCCCGATGTTATCCAATCCCTCCGCCACCATGAGTTCTCGATGGTATGGTCGTCTCAAAACCAATCATGGAGGTATCTCCGCACTCTTGTCAAGACCCATCTTTTCAACACACAATCTCTCGATGCAACCCAACCGCTTCGCCGGCGAAAGATTCATGAACTTGTGGCATATATAAGGGGGAAGAATGGCGAGGCCGTGCACATTGGGCTGGCGGCGTTCTCCACTGTGCTCAATCTAATATCAACCACGTTCTTATCTATTGATATGATAGATTTAAAATATGAATCCGCACAAGAGTTAAAGGATTTGATCTGGGGGTTAATGGAAGAGGCCGGAAAACCGAACCTCTCCGACTTCTTCCCTTTCTTGGCTCCAATGGATCTTCAAGGCCGAAGGCGCCGCTCTGCGGTTTACTATAATAAGTTATATGATTTTTTGGATAAAATGGTAGAAAATCGATTGACAACCACGGCCGAAGAAGGTAGAAGAACTAATCCCGATATTTTGGATGTGCTTCTTCAACTAAGTCAAGAAGATAACTCCAAGCTTAGCAGACGAATTATAAAATGCTTGCTTTTGGTAATTAATCATATTATTTGATTATTTTGCTTTCGTTAGAGCATCTTCAATGGAACGTCATATATTTGTTTGCAGTTCTTCGGTCGTCACAACCGATAGTCTTTTTTGTCGCTATTTCATCATGGGTGAACAATTTGATTTTAATATTGACGTCATACTGTTCACGGGCTATTTGTTTTTTTAATTCGAAAATTAATTATTAGTTTTAAATATTCAAGTTTAGATATTTTTATTAATAATTAAAAAATAATAAATTA